AGACTCAGAAGTCATAAACAATGCTATCAGCACGCTAATTCATTGATTAACGAATAATTAAAATGTGGTAATAAAGCTTACCGGCAGCTGGGTGTCAAAGACGACCAATTTTGTTGATGTCGGAATAAGGTCGTAACACCTGTGGGCTTTCATGAACAATGAATAAACGGCGTCTTGACTATCTGAAAGGAAACAAGATTTTTGCTTTATAAACATGCCACAAAAATATTCTTTGGACTCTGATCGAACCGCACCGAAAAACACGGTGTTTATATCAGCCACAGCCGAGCCAATGGTCATCGAGTCGAAAGAGTTGAATAAAGCTGCCTGAAATGTTTGCGAATAAGCGAAATTTACTCACACTCAGTTTCATCAAGTGCTGCCTGCCATGCATAGAAGTCAAAAGTTGGGTCGTAGACGGTGACGCGAGCCACTGGCGAGATGCGACATTGCTGTCCGCTTTGACGTCTTCTGGGTAATTTCAGAATAACCACTGGTGGTTGGGAGTATGGGGGCATTGGTGGCAGGCCAAGGTGCCCTTCCACATCCACATGCAGGTGGTGACCAACACGGCTTTTTCCATAATGGCCAGTGGCCGGTAACGACTTCACAGTGTCATAGTTGGTCTGCGTATAGTCATCGTCCTCTTCGGGTATGATGCTCTCGGCATCTCGAGCCCTGGCAGACTTCGATTTCTGGCCGAATAGCGTACGCCTCAGTGTCCCAGTAGCACGAGAGCGAGCCTGTGCCACCCAGTTTGCGGCTCTTTTGCTCTTTTTTCGATGCGGCTGCTGCTGCGAGGGCTGCGGTTCGAGCAGTTCGTTCGGCGTCGCATGGCTTGACTGGGACACCATCTTTCGAATCGACGGCAATGTGTTCGTGAACAGAGCGGCGGCGATCAGCGAATACAGTGACAGTGACAGTAACTAACACCGAGTAGTCAAGTGGTCGCTGAAGCAGAAACGAACATGTGAGTCATCTTCTCATTTTCCGCTGACTCTGGATCACAGGCCAAACAGAAAACACGAAAACTGAAACACTCCAGCTCTAATTTGCAATTCATGAGGCGGTGAGGGGCAGGCTAATGAGCACGAATAACAAGTTCATGGTTGATGATCCATGAG